GTGGTGAAGAAAAAATACCAGTAGATGACAGATCCAACAAAACGAACATATTCTAAATGCCAAGTCACGTATATAACACTTTATCATACCGTTACATTGGGCAGTTGTAAGACATAGCAGACGGTAAGAAGCCATGTTTGTCTGCTAAGCAACGAGGTTCAAATCTAAAAAGGCAAGAACAACATCATCCGGGAGATGGCTTTGATGTATACATCACGAGATCAAAAAATGATTTTGGAACGTTATATACTTACTAACAGATTTTCTTTTATTTGTCCAAGTGGAACCTACCTCTAAATTCACACCGTGAACCAGTAAAACCAGGAGGGCATGTACACGTGATCGAATTACCATTATTACTACAAACTCCATTGTTATAGCATGGGGTTACATAGCAAGAATCAAAATCTACAACATTATGAATTAATAACTGGTTAAACATAATGTTATGTTATAGAAACATTCACCTTTAAAAAAATACAAAGACGCCACAAAATGACAGGAATTGAAACAAGTGTGTTTATAAGGAATTAAACAATAATGACATATCACAATAAGAATAATGTATAATATAACCGAATCTACAAAGTTATAAATGTAAACTGGATTAAATCTACTTAATATTTTCTGCCTTTCTCTTTCTAGGCGTTTTATAACATAAAACCCACCTTCGCAATTATTACCAGAGTAACCAAACTGACAGAAACATTGATAAGATAATCCATTGTTGGTAACCACACAAATGCCATTATTTAAACACTGTCCACTAGAACATGGATCGGACGCTGTAAGTATACATTGATGCCAGTTGAATTTAGTTGATTCCGAAGATACCAGATAATTTTCGAGATTTGATAAAGCTACAATCGTCTATCCAGCTTTCCAGATACATAAGAATAGAGTATTACTCGGTTGACAAAAAACATTATTTTGACTAAGACTGTGTAAATATGGGTTAGCTAATAGAAGAAAACAAATTTAATTAATGAAGTTTGAAATTGCATCGTAGACAATTTAGGAATATGATGTTTTGTAAAATGTAAAAACATTACCAATTGTTTGACATGTAGTACCAGAGAATCCAGCTTGACAGGTACACAAGAATGATGTACCACTCGGTTGACAAAAACCATTATTTTGACAAGGATTTGGTAAACATGGATTGACTAAAAAAAAGAAAAAAAGTTGTGTGGAATTCATTGTAGACAATTTAGGAATATGATTAATACACTATTTTAAGAAAATTTTGTAATAAGGTTATATATTTTGTCTTCAATTAAGAATTGAATGTAGATTTTTTTGCGTTCATTGGTTGATAAACGCAGAATTGTCATGTGTTAATGCGAATGAATGGCGGATTACGTCATCGGTGATCACTAAGGAAAGTTGTAGTTCATCGGTACCCAAATTTTTCACATAGGTTCACTGTAGCACGTGACAATAAAATGTAAATATTGGGTTATCATCAACTTTGATTATAGAGCATATTTGTATGTGAATCATAGGTATGCTTTTAAGGGAGTCTGAAATGGTACAAGTAAAATGACTTTAAAAATATTAAAAGAAATCTGTCATAAACGATGTTGTTAGTAGAACGTTGTGTCGCAATAAGATGAGGAGTTGGTCAAATTTAACTAAACATCTATTCTTTACATTTGTTGACAGTTAGATGTTACCTGATGTCAGACATGTATCACCAGTGAATCCATTTACACAATAGCAAGTAAAGCCATTCCCTGTAGACGACGACTGGCAGAAACCACCATTTTGACAAGGCGAGGAAGAACACGGATCAACTGAATAAGATAAATTTTGTAGTAGCCTATAAAACATGTTTTCTTATCTCCCGGATTCGTGGAAAGGTTCAACTTTCGGCAAATTTTATTAAAATAATAATGTGGCCTATGATATGCAATACCGAATTGCCCATATAATATATAAATGCCATAGTTTTATTAGTATTTTCAGAGTATAAAATGCAAATTGGTTCAAATTAGATGATAACTTCAAAGGTAATAATTCTCATTTTTCAAAGTTTGCATTTTATGCCTAAATTTAATACATGTATTCCGATTAGTTCCTGTTTCTAGTATCTTTTCATATATATGGGCGTCAGTAGCTTAGTTTTAAAATGTCCATCAGTAAACATGACGGAGGGTGTGTAACACCTAATGATTAACATTTGTATCATGATACACAAATTTCAGACTTAAAAATTACCCAAAAGCAATTCTATATCTTTTTAAAAATGAACGGCATACCTTTAGTTTCGCATGTGAAGCCGGTAAAACCAGGTGTACAAACACAAGTAAACGAATTTCCATTATTATCACAACGACCACCATTGAAGCATGGGTTAGCAATACATGAGTCAAAAACTGTAAAATTTACAAGTACATACAATCTAAAAATTCTTTCAAAATTGGAAACACTGTCCCAAAACAACCAGCTCAAAATGTAAAAAAATTTCAAAATGTCTCGAAATCTGCAACTGTGACACGAACCCCCAAAGTAAGCATTTCTAGTACGAATCGTACAACTCCCAAAAAAGTGAAATCTGCTGCATCTTTAAAAGTGATGAGTTAAGGAATCAAATCTTCTCCTGTTGTCAAGGCAGCAAAAGCTGTTAATGTAAGCAACATGGGCAATAACTCTGAAGATTTCTCAACTGAAGTTCCAGTGGATACTAACACATTGACTAATCTTGAAAATAAAAAACCAGTTCCGAAACCAGTTGAAAAGAATTCTACCGGATCGTCGAAATCAGGATATTCAGAGAAATATCGAATTCAGTCAGCTAAATCTCAGAAAGAGGTTCCCGCTCCAAAACAGTCTTAATCTTTCCCGCGAACGAGCTCACAAACCAACGTTAACGAGGCTCAAAATAGCGTTGTGGCGCCCAAGAGTGGAAGAAATAGCTCTGCTAAGAGTTGCCGAGTAAGTGGCATTCAAGTTTTGCAGGAAAACGGAGCGCCCACTCCGGGGCGGAATCCCAAATCAGACACTGTGACAAAGAAAAGTGAGGTAAGATTAAAAGAGTCCGTTTCCGATCCTTTGATTACGAAATTGAAAAAGAAACTTGGGAAAAATGTGATCGTGAATCCTTTCAAAGATTTTGTGCCGTGTCAAAATATTGAGCCTCAAACTCAACCTGCTGATTACACGATTTCAAAATATCAAAAAGATGCCATAGTGAAAAATCGTACAATGTCGAAAATCGTAATACACATTAGATGTATTTTCAGTTACAGACGCTTGCAAATAACTACATCAAGTAGGTCCTAGATTAAACCCTAGTTTACCACCTACTCTCCTGATTGAGTGTCTTTCTCTATGGTTTTCAATAACAGTAATGTCAACATTAGGATAGAATTTACTTACCATCACAATTGTTACCAGAGTAACCATATTGACAGAAACATTGATATGATCCATCATTATTAGCTGCACATATCCCATTATTTGAACATGGTGTAAAGGAACATGGGTTAACTAAAACAAACACAAATTTCTATTGTGAATTATATATTAGCAACTGAGAGTTTTTGTATTCCGACTAGTTTATGTTATATATTATATGAGATACATTTTACCTAATAATAATAATAATATTCATTGTTTAAAGACCATTACACATAAGTCACAACAGTCTAAACTGTTCATAAAAACAAATAAAACAAACAAATAAAATAAAAAGATACTCTTAAAAAAGGAGAAATCAACCTTAAATACATAAAAAGTCACATACAAATTTTATAATGGAAAAATTATATAAGATAGATGTAAAATATATATTCTGCTGTCCTAATATTAACCATAATAGAAATTAAAAATAAAAGTTTTCGGTTCTGACTTCAAAATAGGAAACTCTGATCGCCATACTGTTTTGAAGTTTTTATTCCATTGGCTTTTCCATTATTCTCATTCCAATACTATTCCTGGTACACTATGCCAAACCGTGGACAGAGATAATATCAGTGAGGGTGCTCTGTCAATATGGTGTATAAAAAATTAAGCATAAACTTTTAAAAATGAACTCGTTGTTTTCATCTGGAAGTCAGTGAAGCTCTTGGAGTAGAGCTATGCATGACGTCGGAGATTTGCTTATGCTCCTTGTGAATCATTTTCATTTTTTTTCAAGTCTATATTTTACTTACATTACTTGACAATACGGTTATTTTACAGCAGCTGGTTGTAGGTACATTACGTAATAATGAGTTTGTTTTACAGCCGTATATTTAATATATAACATTAGAATGAGTTCATTTAACATCCTTATAATAATTAATATTGTGCTTGAGTATTAGTTTATTTTATGGCAATACATTGTGCTCATAATACTTGATTTAAATTTATTTGCTCATATCACTAGAGATTATGTATATTTTACAGCATTATATTTTATTTATGAAATTTTAGAATGAGTTTATTTTACAGCACTAAATTGTATTTATGAAACTTGAGAATGAGTTTATTTTACAGCACTAGATTGTATTTATGAAAATTGAGAATGAGTTTATTTTACAGCACTAGATTGTATTTATGAAAATTGAGAATGAGTTTATTTTACAGCACTAGATTGTATTTATGAAAATTGAGAATGAGTTTATTTTACAGCACTAGATTGTATTTATGAAACTTTATTTTACAGCATTATATTTTATTTATGAAACTTGAGAATGGGTTTCTTTAACATTCATATATTTTATTTATAGTACTTTTTCAGTATATTTTACATCAGAATATTTTACTTACTTGAGAATGAGTTATTTAACAGCACTAAATTGTATTCATTTAAGTTGAGAATGGGTTTATTTAACATTCCTATATTTCATTTATAGTACTTGAGAGTTTCAGTTTATTTTACATCAGAATATTTTACTTACTTGAGAATGAGTTATTTAACAGCACTAAATTGTATTCATTTAAGTTGAGAATGGGTTTATTTAACATTCCTATATTTCATTTATAGTACTTGAGAGTTTCAGTTTATTTTACATCAGAATATTTTACTTACTTGAGAATGAGTTATTTAACAGCACTAAATTGTGTTTATTTAAGTTGAGAATGGGTTTATTTATCATTCCTATATTTTATCTATAATACTTGAGAATTTCAGTTTTTTTTACATCAGAATATTTTACTTGAGAATGAGTTTTACGACCCTATTTTTCACTATTTGAGTATATTTTATACCACTATTGTACTCATCTTACTTGAGAAAGAGTTTATCTACATTCTACAACATTATATTTTATATATAGTAGAGTAAATATCAGTATACTTTACTCTAATTACAAGAAGTTTATTTTAAAGCAATTTACCTGTATTTTTTTAATGAGTTTATTTTACTGCTCTATATTTCACTTATATAACTTGAGAATGATTTTATTTAAGCACTTTATTTTATTTATAGTAGGCCTACTCAAGAATGGATATATTTTACATCAGTATATTTTACGCGAATTTCATGAATGAATTTATTTTTCAGCATTATATTTCACCTATATTTTTTAGAATGAGTTGATTTTACAGCATTATATTACTTGAGAATAAGGTTATTTTAAGCTTTATATTCCATTTCTTATTTAACTAACGAATAGGTTTATTTGATTGCAATTTATCTAAGTCCTTTAAATTATTTGAGAATTAGTTTATTTTACAGCATTAAATTTTACTTTTATTTCTTGAGAATGAGTTCTTTAACTCGAGTGAGATTATTTTACAACACTATATATTACTTATATTATTTGAGAAGAAATAATGAAAATACCAAATGATTTAGAAAAAAATAGATATTGGAGGACGGAAAATGTGTGAAATCCCATTTTCATCATAAGGGAATTCTGCATAACACTTTCCATTACTCAATTTTTAAGACCAAATGAATATACAATTTATTTATAAACTGGTTCGGTTTCTGGACTGCCTGGGTTCAATTGTAGAGGTTGGATAAATCAGTGCGACGTAATAAATTGGGTCATATAGTTGAAAACAGTTCTCCTTTAGGTTTTTCTAGAATTCAATAGTGTACATTAAAAAATACGACTTATTCAAGTGTCGACGTACAATATCACTTGTCATGCGCATTGGCCATATAGGAATATATAATGTTAAGTCGTGATAAAAAAATTAAGTTTGTTAAAATGAATACTTACTTTGAGCATTTGATTGCGATAGTCCGGCAATTACAAGCCATAGAGTAATTCCGAACATGGTTATATGGTCCAATGGGATATGGAAAGTTATTACCAAGACGTTAAATATATACATGGCCTGAGAAAGTTGTCAGTCATCATGTTGAAGAGTACAACTCCTAGATTGTCAATATGGAATATATAACTAGCTTTAACTCAAAACCACTTAAACAAACCCTTGTCCAATAAATAGATTCTTTTAACTTGTTCGTTATGTTTTCTCTCTTTATTTATCTTAAAGGATTTTGTCACTCTGAGTGTAAAATGTATCTCGATGTTACTTAACATATAATATTTAGTGTATTGTTTACCTCTTTTACAACACTTTAGTTCTCATTGTTTATCGTGAGATAAAAGGGTATATTTTCAATCATATTCAATAAGTTTGACATCATCATCATATTTTTGGTTTAAATTCAGCTTTTGTTCACAGTTAAGCAGACTTAGAATTTTCTGTCAGATTCACAGTAAACCCACAAAGTTTACTTTAAAATTTGTGGTATCATGGATTCCGAGATTAGGTTTATTTTTCGTAACATTAGAAATGATTAAATTATCTTTATCAGAATTTCTATTTTAGACCTATTAATTATTGGCAAATATATGATATGAGTTTTGCTCCCCCACCCCCACTCTCCTCGGAACTTCAATACATCTGGAAGGACAAACCTCTAAATCAATCTGTGTAATATATATATAAAAAAAAAAGAAAACGTGGTCAGTCATTTAAACTACGCGACCAAATCGTATTATGAATTAGGATGACGCGTTTCAAACATAAATGATCAGCAACAATTCTCTATTTTTATTATGATTGTGAAACACAATAGAATAGAGATGCCTTGTTTGATAATTCTATTGATCATAAAATATATAGACTGTTCATTACTATACCAAATTCTGAGTTTCTCCCAAGATGATCGTGATAATTTGATAATAAATACGTGAAAACATGTTAAAGGTGTGGTCTAAAGATAGTATCTAAATACATTTCTATTGTATAATTATAACAATGGATCGCGAGCAAGTCAAATACACCGACCTAGGTCAAACAACTTATATTCTTTGAACTATGATAGACAAATTCGAAAGATAACAGTAAGTGTATAGTTGAATACTAAAAAAAGATATTCTTGGTACAGGTGTGTCATGGCAATCTGAAAACTAAGCTACCAACTCACATAAGTCCTGTGACTTACTGTGGGAAATTATGGTTGTTATTTTGGAATCATTTCTCTAATTTTGCAGTAGCTGTGTTCATTAGGCACACCTTGGAGTAGTCAAAAACACCTAACAACTTAACACCTAAACACGTCATCAGAATTACGTTCAATATTCCTTTTGATATGCCATGAAATTTTATGTTCATATTGATGAAGCCGGCAACGCACATACTTTCCATTTAAACCCCTGACAATCGATGTGTGGAATCTTTTGACTAACCCTCAAGCGGCGGTGAATAATATTACCATCGGTAATGCATCTACCTTCTAACTGACCATTGACCCTTGATTGTTCGGCTAGAGAAAGGAACAAGGAAGTGGTACTATTTAATAATCCTCTCTGAATTCATTTTTTTCAATTCAATATATAATGCAACATATCAAATAAACTCTATTTGCTATGTGGGTTTACCGCGAGGATGTCGACATATCCAAGTTTTTTCAGGATATGCAGTTCAACATAAAAAGAGAAAAATTTCACGATACCAAACAAGGATTTCTCTAGAATGATCCAAATCTGACGTTATCTCATGGTTTTTTCAGACGATATTTGCCGTGTCATCCTTAATTGCCAGCACATTATATATATGTTTCTTTCTTATATATTTACATAAGGTTTTTGTTACATTAGAGAAAAAAGTCGAATGAAATTTTTAATTATATGTAGTAGATAGGCTGTCAAAGTTTTAAACGTAATACAATTGACCTACATATAATACACCTACATGAAGTACTCCAATAAAAACCTGGATATTCATCATGAGACGAGTCGTAATAAAACCAGCTTATTTCAATATTGACTGCAGTTTTCCCTACTATGAATTAATTCTAGCTGTTTTCTAGCTGATATCTATCTAATGTTTTTTTAGATAATGAATTTAAGTTTTGCCTTCCACCTAAGCTCCTCATAATGAAGCGTGAAGAATTAGGAGGAAATGGTCTGCAGCATTGACCAACTACTGTGGAAAATGGAATCTGAATGGAAAATGAACTTTGACGGATCGAAACGGTATTTGATAAGCTTCATTTTTGCGTTGGTCTTAACCAATCAAATAAAATAGCGTGTCGAATCAGAAATCTTAATACATTGCATTATACGATTATCTTCAAGTTAGCTGCTTCTACTAGGTTGATATTTAGATTTGTTCGTATCATATATACTGTACATGTGCAGATTCTTTTTTTTTTTTCAGTTCCAATGTTTCATTTAACATTTTCCCTACTTTTTGCAGTTAATGTCACAACTAAGAATGAATTATTAGTGTAAGCTCCAAATAGTTTCACAACATAAGATCGACGCATTGTCTAGATCGTTACTTACACAATGGAAGACAAATTGAACGATATAAGTTTGTTAAGGCTTTACCCGGATGAGCGAAATGAAGCTTTCAGTTCATATACTTTGTATTGTACCGTGTTATTGTTATATTGAATATTGTATATTAAAATATTTTATGCTTGTTCAAAACTATATTATTTGACTAGTAACGTCAGTAGGCTACCGAAGGAATTTACTCGGTAAATATGACAAAGGGTTGGATGCCCACTAATTTATACTCGTTTCTCTCCTTTACAGTTAGTGGCGTTGTTTTGACAAGGCCCCTCATTACAGTATCACGACTGTTGTAATTAGAATTAAGGGCACCCAATTTTTACAATTTTTGGATGGATCTGAAAAACTTTAACTTCAAATTGAAAGAAAAGAAAGTTTGCAGTGAGGTTCCGCACTCCAACCCAACTTTATCCTCACTCGGCTCCGGCATGGCATTGCAAATGATAAAAGTAAAAACTGTTGCTTATGTCAATACAAATTAATTTATTTTATGGCAAACAAAGGAAACCGGGAAATCGATGCCTGGAAGTAGGACCCATCTTGGAACATCAAGAGGTGACTGGACATATGTTTATCACTTTTGACATGATCTTATTAACCTGTATTAAACTAAGCCCACTACACTTCGTTTTGTTGGCGTGGAAATGATCAGATTGGTGCTATTTAAATCTAAGCAATCAGATCGGTAGAACGTAAATGAGGTCGGGAAAAAAACACAAAATCGATTTATCGCCACTCGTTTGAAGATATAAAAATACAAAGTAAATATTTAAATTGATTGGCTGAGATTCCCAAGAAAGATTCCAGGGTGGACTTTGATCGTACAATATTTATCTATTAATACGTAATTTGTCTAACTTGTATTACCACGGCCCCGAGAAAGGATGACAATTAGCAATTTCCATGCCAGAGGCTAAATGCATCATTATGGACATTATGGACTGGGGTGTCTATCACGATGACTTCATCGATCCCCGGTAACAACATCCAAGATGGAAGCCCGACTAGAGGTATCTGGGTCCATGGGTCGTCTGCCCATAAAAACTCAAATTTGAAATCGTCCGTCGGAGGATCTAAAATATATCAAAAATGTACATGGAATACGTTATGAATAAGTGTTGTATGCACTACAAAACGTAAAAACACGGTGGGATATGTCGTAGTAAGACACACTTATTCCTAACCTATGAGTAACGTGCTTTGAACGCCGAAGCTAAAATGATTCTTCGGCGTACTACGGCGTATATATTTCCTCTATAGCTATTCCGTTACTGAAATGAATGTAACAGACGTTCCTAACATATGGGATGACAAAATCATAAATCAATATGTAAGCATCGACATGTTCCCATGACATGAGTAGTTAAGCATTTTTCAAAATTGTTGAAAATCAAGTCTCCCTTTACAAAGATTTTTTGTAACTATTCTATAATAATTCTTGGTTTTTCCATTAATGTCGATAGAGTTATGTTTATGTGTCATTTTTGCTTGAAGTCTATCTGTGAGAATTTTGAAAGGGACGTTTTTCTTGGAACACCCAATATATAAGTATTTTAAACTATTCCAAGTAAATTGGTACAGACTTTCACTTTTACGAGAAGATGTAATGTAATAATTACATCCCTACTATTCAGAATTATTTGAATAAGGCTTACAAAATCCACTGAATAATGTAAATATCTCATGATTTATTTTATCCCTGAATTAAGATTAATTATTCAATGTAAGGATATAAAGGTAGATTTTGACATGTTTGAAAAGACTTACTAAAATATAATTGCCTCTTGTAAAATGTGTTAAAATTAAAAGTTATGTTTGCACTTGCACGAATATTAATGCGATTTTTTGGATACAATATCACAAGTCTTTATACACCCTGCTGATATTTTACCAGTAATTGTGGCTCATTATTTGTGAGATTTTACGAGAAAAACATAAAGGCCTTAGGGGTCAAAATGAATCAGATCTTTGAATTAAGAAATA